ACCAGAAAAGCTGGAAAGCTGAGATTTTAGGAGAATATTCCCCGTCCAAATACAACTTAAAGATTTTAAATTAAGCCTCTATGTACGCGTGATTCTCGTGTACAGGAAATTAAATTTTCGGCAGAGAAATTTCTGATTGAACAGCTGGGTCATTTTCAAAAAACAGTCGCTAAACGGAAATTGTTTATTTCCTTCCATGCAAAATTTACGATGATTTTTACGGTATTGAGCGCATAAGGCAGGTGTCAAGAAACAACCCGTTCATGCGGTTAACCTGATTACTTCAAGTTTAGTGTAAAAATGCTTGACCACACCGGCTCGCCTGGTGCTTTCCAGCCTGGGTTTTACTAAATGAACCACCCAGTAAAAACTTGTTTATTTTTATGTCTTTTTTTTGCATTTTGTGGAGATGCAAAAACGCATAATGTCGAGAACTTCTCTTTGCGTGTATGTATGTGTTCAAAAACGAGTAAACTCTGTCACCCATTTTCATTTCAGCAGTGGGAAGCTATGATGCAACACTACCGTTCTAGCCAACGCCTTTTCCTCGCGTGTAAGAAAAAGATCAAAAACAGGGCCATGAGCTGCACGATATTAAATTGTAAAGCAACAACCATTCATACCGTTAACGATCTGACTGCGTCAAGTTTAGCGCAAAAACGCACGATGGCATGGGCAAGCCTGACGCGTTGCTACTTGGGTTTTATTAAAAGGTAGCCCGCAAGCTTAAGTGCGTAAAACAGATCTGCGTGTCCGCAAAGGTTGCCCATGCCTACCCTAACTGATTGTGTGGAATACTGCGGTATCTTCCTTATCCTCTAGATTCTCTTAATTACAATGATTCCGAAGAAATAAAAGTTGTCTCCCTTTCATCAAGCCTTTCATTTCTCAACTTGTTGAGAAGCTGCGTTCGCATACATAAGCAAACTTCGAAACAGACATTTTTGCAGATCTGACGTTCGCAAGGTGCAGCCAACCGCATGCAACCAAGTCACAAAAAAAAGTTGTTTACGACAACAAAGTGTTTTAAATCAACAATTCTTCATAACAAAAGCATTCAAATTTCATTATTCAACATTTTCAGCTCTTTTCAGGCAACCTCCATCTATGCCTCTTCATGAAACCGCTAATCCCGATGAGTTACGAAAGGCCGCCAGTAGATTTAGGTGAAACGAATAGGGATAAAAAGAAGGGAAGGATGCTAAATATGTTAAAAATGATGTAGTATTCGGTGGTATGTTAGAATGAAGCACAAAAGTGATTAACGACGGATATTGTTTTGCAAAATGAATGAAGATACCAGTACAGCTACTAGTAAGTCAACAACTAGTGCAGTGAAAGGGAAACTAAAAAAAAGGAGCGGGAAAGCAGGTAGATTTTCAATAAAGCGTCCAGACTGGGACGCTTTAAAACGCATCCATCACTTATCGAAACAGTCAATCGCTTCATTTTTCGAGAATGATTAAACAACAGTGACAGGGAATGTATTCACAGAAGCCGTGAATTACATGACGTACGTGAATAATTCAGTTTGCACTTATGCAGATCTTCATAGCCCAACAACGCTGCTTTACTAGTGAACGATTCACTGACTAATTTCATGTATGGTTTTCATTTCCTTCCAGTTTTTCAGTGACATATTGCATTTCCACTGTTCCGTTAGGTAAATCGACCAGAACTTCCTTTACCGATCCCATGCAGGACTTTAGCTTCTCGTCTGCAATCGAATTATCGCATTTCAAAACAGAAATGCCAAAAAATAAGCAAAAACGCACTAGCAGGAAAAGCTCCAGAATAAAAACAGACTCTTCTACAATCTTATTGATGTGCTCAGGACACCCGTAAAACTGCACTAGTGAAAGTAGGGGAAAGCAAATAAAGCTGTTAGTGATGGTGGAATGATGACTTACTATAACGGCTCAGAATCTCGTCGACAGCACCTTTTCTGCGTTCCAACATGTTGCTTTTTGATTCCACTATTGGTTTTAGTATCACAGCATTGTCCAGGATACGCATGCTGGTCAATTCCCTTTCTAGCGCTTCCTGCAATAGACCTTATGTTCCATAATCACTGCATGGCTACAAAACAAACACCTGGCTCATACTGTTGACGGTATTTAGCAAGCAATCGACAATCGCTTTATTTCAGACTGAATATGAATTTTTCTGACAGAATGTAAATAAAAGTTGTGATTATTTCAAGATTTTTATGCATAATTAAAAAAATACAACTTTTCTGCGTGCAATGAATTGTTTTCGTGCCCGAGATTGTACAGACTACCAGAATCACAAGTACTGGGTCTTTTAGCACTAGCTCCAGCAACTTCTTGAACTCGTCATAACTGTCAAGCATGTTTATTTACAATGCGTATACCATTTAAGTCAAAGCAATCAGCAATGGCCAATTAGCGGATAGAGGTTTTGTAAAAACCCTAAAACGTCCGTTTTGACATCGGAGCCATCAATGAAACCAGCGCCTAGATAACCGCAAAATAGAAAAGTGATACAGAGGTCGCGTCATGAGCAGACAGTAGAAGAGCTGGAGGTTTCGAAATTTTTTGTGAAGTCGCAGGTAACGAACAAGAACGTCTTCTGCAGAATGGAGTTGTTAGCTGCATTACTGACGGAAAAGCGATCAGCAGCTGATCAGAGTAAAGCATAAATATTTTTAACGACATCCACTCGATTCTTAGCCTCTTTGAAGCATTAACCGCTATAACGTCAAATGTTTTTAGTTACCATTTGCTCTTTCTTCTTGTACAAAATTCTATTCGTAACACTAACAGTTGATAATGGGTAGATTCCCGCACAACGATTTTGAAGCGACGAGATGATGCTGTACACGTATAAAAATAATCCTATTAGCTGAAGACGAAAAATTTAGTTTAAAACAGACCTCAATTTCAGTAACAGTTTCTTCGTTCAAATTGCTCGGTGTGCTAAGAATACTTTTCGGTACTTTTTTGTGCCGTCGAATCCATGGGTCACGCATAAATTCCTTAATTGTCATTCTTTTGTCTGGATCTGTCACCAGTAATCTGCGTACCAAATTCTTTGCTGCAACACATATCTGACGCATTCGTGGTATATCAAACACAATCAAATGGAGCTTTTCTTTTTGGTAATAATAAGAATTTTTTCCAAACTGCTTGCCTCTTTGTGGTGTCGCGCTGAAAACAATGCATCATCTTTGCACTACCGCTACGCTGCAGTCATGGAAGAGCAAGCGCTGAGTGAGAAGCTGCCGTATCACATGACCACATTCTTCGGAACACAAAAACAGTCAAACACTTTGTTCCAGAAATTCATTGGGTAAGCATAGTATTATTGCTTGCTGCAGCAAACAGAGACATCGTCTCACAGTTAGCAGTATTCGAAATAAAAAAGAACTTACTAGAACCATCACTGAAAAATGACACACGTAAGCAGCTCATTTAGAAGATAATGAAGAGAATCAGGTTGCCTAACTTGCAAGATTCACACAGTTGAAAAACCAACTTTTTCAAATCATTCCAATCCGGCATTCTGAGGGCACAAATTTGTGAAAATTTTAACATAACTTTAAATATGATGTAGTTTAAAGAAGTGATTAAGTGTGAAAATTTGTCAAAGATACTGCCATCATAATAAAGAAATTCATAATATTCAAATTAATAAATTTACTCATTTTTTACGCCAGGCTCCAAAAGACAGAAAAAAATTTGGCCTCTTGGAAACGAGTAGTGTGCGAGTGGGTGCAGTACAACTTACCTTCATCTGATATGCAGTCCCAGTCAGGCGAGTGAAAAGTATATTCGCCAGCCTTGATTCGTCGTTTCATTTTCTCAGTAAAAATGCCAGCGTACTCTGAGTAAAATGGCGGATAACCGCATAGCCTAAACAAAAGTGGTTGGAAAATGTAAACAAAGGCTGGAACGCACCAGGCGAGCCGGTGCGATCATGCGTTTTTGCATCAAAACTAA